GGAGCAGCACCCCCATGCCCAACGGGCACTTGGTACTTCCTTCCTTCCTCATCTCCTCCTCCGCTCTCTTCCTCAGCTCCCTCAGGCAATGTAGAGTACGAGACTTCTCCTCCTCGCTGGAGCATCTAGCGAAGCCATGTCGTCGGAGGGCCTCAGTCCATTTACTACGATCTGAGCATGGGACTCCATCAATAATCGGCATGTTCAATGCACTCTCTCTTCCTGGCCCTCCAAACCTTATTCCACCTCCTCCTACTGCACTTCAACGTCTCCTCATCCACCTCCCCTCTCTTCCACAGCTAATGCAAAGCATAGTGCGCCTGTCTGATCTGCACGTGCTCCTCAGACCATCTGGGTGTCCCTGAGCTCTTCCTCTGGGTCCAGTCGGGGCTAACTCCGCGGCCTTCAGGAGGCCGTCACTCATGGACTCCAGGGGGATTGCCCATCACGCTGCTCTCCGACATCCTCCTCCTCGTCCTTCTGGCCTGCTCCTTCTTTCCCTTGTCGTTCTCCTCCCCCTCCAAAGACCACCTCCTCGAGATACTGTTTGGCGCCCACCACCACCCCACTTCTGCGTCGGATCCACTGCGGAAGATGTGCGAGCTGGGGAGAAGGGCACGGTCGAAGAGCGCTGCAGCATCACGAGAGGGCACACCAGGGTCCACCTGCCAGTGCGCCAGCTTCCTGGGTTGGCCACTCGCGCGGTCCAACTGCATGTCCTCGATGCTCGGAGCAGTGAGTGTCAAAAGCTCATGGTCACTCCAGAACGTGTCTAACGCCAAATATCCTTCCAACGCTCTCTCCCCCAGCTGCCTCCGGGATAAGCCAAGTAGAAGATGTTGGTGGGAGTTTCCAAGATTCGGGTACCGCTATGTAGTCATCTACATGCTCATAGCCCCTCGCACTCCTCCACGTAGTGCCCCCCTCCTCCTTCCTGTGCCCCGGGGCCCCAAAGGTGTTGGCCAGCTGGAGTCCCAAGATACCCATAGTGGCCACAAGGGCCTCGCTCATAGCTCTTCTGATGATTCTAGCACGCTTTTCATGCCCACCCCGCCCGCCACGTTGATCAGGTAGAACCCCATCTCCCGGGGCCTGCAGGTGCCCAGATAAGGAGTTCTGATGGACGTCAACGTTCGCATCGATGCTGATGATAAGATGTTTGATGTGATGAAGTTGTTGCAACTGCGTGCAATGTACGGCGCACTTCCTGAGAATGTCCTGGTAAAATTGAACGATGCCCCATTATGCCACTTCCGTCTTCCCCATCGTGCCCTTGTGAGGCAAATAAATTAATGCAAATACAAAAGATTGAAACGCAAGCACAGCACATCTTACCCCAATACGCTGGTCTAGGAACTGTTTGGCGAGGTCCGAGCGGAAGAGAACACCTGCATGTCCACTCGGGCTCCGCACGATATCCCCATTGAGGTTCTGAAAGTCATCGCCTTCAGCCGAAAGAATTGCACGGAATGGTGAGTCGACCAACGACTCATCCTGAATTAGATGTTGCGCCTCCTGCAGCCCGACCACATCGAAGTCACGGAGCGCCTGTAGTGCTTCAGCTGCCGGCGACTTCCCAAGCCTCCTGGCATTCCAGCTCGCGAGCCGAAGGCCTGGGCACCCTCACCAGTTGTCGGCATTGACCTGAGCCTGCCACGCTTGACAAGTGATGGCAGGATCGATCTGCGAGAGTTCTGCCGCCGTGAGCTTCCAGCCTGAGCCACGTTGCCATACCCCAAAACAACGTTCATGGGCTCTACCAGCCGAAGGACTGCCGTGACACCATGCAACTGTCAGAGGTCCGTACTCAACTCTGACCCAAGCCAACTCCTTACTCTTGTGATTATAGAAGGTGGCGATGAGACGATTTGCAACCCTGCTCTGAGGCTGCTTGTGGGGTTCGACCTCTGTCATCACCTGGGAACGTGCATTGATCTTATCCCCGAAATGCATATGCAGCTGCCAGTGGTGCATATTTCTCATCCAACTTGTTTTTCCAAAGATTTCTTATATCCCAAACATTGTTACGGGCGACCGTCGGTTTGAGGAAGATGCGAAGCTGCCAATATCCCCATGGCTTGTTTGAATTGAAAGCAATACTGTCCTCACGATTGACTACATTGATCATCTCTTGTCCATCGACAGTTTCAAAGGGTGCAGCGAGATCGTCCATAAGTATTGAGATAACTTTATGGGCATTGGTCTCCGCGAGATTGCGACTAGAGCGTCCCACCACCATGTTTCGGTCACCATTGCCCCACCCTTTGATCTGGATGCATGTTGGCGCGAAAGTGGGCGGCTTTGGGGGAGGCCCCATGTTCCCAGATCCCACTCTGGTGCTGCTCTCACTATCTACACTCAGTCCACTCTCGCTTCGTGTCGAGCTGCGATGTTTCTGCAGATGTTTCACCGTGGCCTGGAGCTGCTTGAGCTCCCCCCCTTGGCGTGTGAGCTCTTTCTGCACCACATTCACCGACTCACGAACGGGCCCCACTTCCTCCATGATGACTTGTTTGAGAGTGGATTTGAAGGTCTTTTCATTGGCGGCGTTTTGCTCAGCAAACTTGTTGTCCGGAAGGGCAGCAAAGGCTTCCATGCCCGGCGGCATCTGGTGTCTCATGCGTTTGGCGCGATCATCCTCAGGGGATCCCTGGGGCACACCAGCCGCTGCCAACTCAGCAGCCTCTCCCGCTCGGCGTTCCGCCGTGCTGATCTCATGCGTCATTGCTGGATCTCTGAAGAAAACTTGATCCGAATAATCTGGCCGAATATGCCAGGGGTCTCTGAAAAATAAAGCTGATCGAAACTCTGAGGCGGGTCTGAGTCTGGAGTACTTCCTGAGGGCATGTGCTCTCCAACTCCAAAATCCCAATCGTCCTCTTCTTGCATACACAAAGTATGTTGTACAGTAAGTGGAGTGTGCACGAAATCTCTCACCGTGAACTCAACAGACAATGAATCTCCCAACTTCCGAAATAAGAACACCCACGAAATTGATCTTCCGGCAGTTTGATGCGTCTCGTTACTGCAGGGCCGCCAACAAAAAGCCGCGGCAGGCAAGCAACAAACAAACAATGGCAGGCGGCCTGCAAGCTGGCCTGGAAGTGCACGTCGACGGCGCACTTGCCGCAGCTGAGCGACAGATATGGCACGGCCCCCCACCCTGCACGGCCGACCCTCGGCAAGCCCCTGACTGCACAATGCAGCTCGAGCCGCACGAGGAGGCCCCACGAGCCCCAGCGGGGACCAAGCCAACCTTGGTGTTTGAGTTTGAGTCAGGGCGCGGACAGCTGTGACAGCTGAGCCCTAAGACTCCCCAAACGGAGCACAGGGTAGCTGGAGAAGGCATCACTTATCATCACACTGCCGAGCCACTGAGGCATAGGTATCGGAGTAGGATGCAGGAACAAGGAAAAGGATGCAGCACGACATGAAATTGCAAAGGTGTAGGAACAGGTTAGAGATGAAAGAGGCTACCCAAAACGTGCACCACGGCCATACAGAGCCGTCGCGCTGCAAACATCACACAGAACACGACAGAAGCAGAGGCATCAAGCGAGAAAGCTTCCTCCGCAACCTAATGACCATTCTGCAGCACATCCCTCCACAGAGCGACCTCCGTCGAAGAATCCACGGAGGCCGTCTAGTTTTGTTTTGTTCGCATGTTCAATAAGGGAAGTAAGGAATACAACGTAACAATTTCTGGTTCTGGCCAACCATGTCAGCATATGTGCAGTCACTAAATCAATCAATAAATTGGGTATCCCGCCTTTGCCGCCAACTCGCGGTAGTTCTTTACATTGCGACGCGTCCATTCATCCTGAAAATTCGTCACGTATCTCATAGCTTCCGTAACGCTTTTGGGAACGAGTCTGTGGTGACTAAAGTCTCTGATGTCCGTCGACAGATGGGTCAAATTGGCGATCGGGCCAAGTCTCGCGCGATCCCGAAGAAGCGCTTCAAGCAACACAGCCTTTTCCTCGGCACCCGAGGCCATAAGGCGATACAGCGTGGCAGCCGTGAAAGAGTGAACGAGCTTTACCCAGCGAGACTTGCGGAAGCAGTATTTCCTGGTCCTTAAATTACACGCCAACTGAAGCAAATAATCTGCGTGGTTACGTTTCTCCTCGTCCTCCGTCGCAGCTGAACTCACAACTGCATTAGGTAAACTCCCAGTCGTGGAACTCCCAGGGTGTGAAGCCATAGAATATTTATGATTAGCTTCCTTGCCATATACACGAACGGGATGCGGGCGCGGCAATCTCGCATTCCGCGCGCGCGAGGGCGCGGATTCATGAAGGAGGACGTGGAGTCGGAGAAGGCAAAGGAGGCGAGGGCTGGGGAAAAGAGGAGGAGATGGAAGAGGAGCAGGAGGAGGAGGAGGGGGAGGATGGGGGAAGAGGATGACGAGCAGGAGGGGGAAGGGTGGAGGGGAAGGGGGGCGATAACGATGAGCAGGAGCAAGAGGAGAAGCAAGAAGAAACGAAGAAGGACAAAGAAGGGAAGAAGCAGATGGACAAGGAAGAGGAGGAAGAGGAAGTAAAGGGCGTCTGATGCATCGCAATATTCCCTGTCGACTGGCGTGAATATTAGTTCCTGAGGTGACCTAGATCACGAATTCCACTGAGGAAACGCACATCAACTCTACTAGAATACACAGTGCGAGTAGTTCTCCTGGACCTTTCTCGATATACCTGAATGGAATGCCTGCGCAGCAATCTTGCATTCCGCGCGCGCGAGGGCGCGGTTTCATGAGGGGCGCGCGGAGGAGAAGGAGGAGCGAGGAGACAGAGGGGAAGGAGGAAGAGGAAGATGACGAGCAGCAGGGGAAACGGAGAGAGAAGTGGGACGAGAATGGAGATGAGGAGAAGCAAGAACAGGAGGAGCAGGGAATGGAAAGAGAAAGAGCACATGGAGGAGGAAGAGGAAGAGAGTAGGAAGAGAAGAAAAATGACAAAAAGCTCTGACAGCAGACGGAGTTCAAACTTGGAGCCGGCGGTAAACCAACAACCTTGGTTTTTGAGTTTGAGTCAGGGCGCGGACAGCTGTGACAGCTGAGCCCTAAGACTCCCAAACGGAGCACAGGGTAGCTGGAGAGGGCAACTCTTATCATCACACTGCCGAGCCACTGAGGCATAGGCAACGGAATAGGATGCAGGAACAAGGAAAAGGATGCAATACAACATGTGAAAATGTAAAGGTGTTGGAGAGCTCCAAGCAAGATGAAATGAGTCAGCTGCTTGGATGAAAGATGCTACCCAAAATGTGCTCCACGGCCATACAGAGCCGTTGTGCTGCAATCATCTCACAAAACATGACAGAAGCAGAGGCATCAAGCGAGACAGCTTCCTCCGCCACCAACTGCCACGTCCCGTGTACACACAAATCTATACACCATCCTGCAGCACATCCCTCCACAGAGCGACCTCCGTCGAAGAATCCACGGAGGCCGTCTAGTTTTGTTTTACTCGCATGTTCAATAAGTGAGGTATGGAACGTAACGTAACTATTTTTGGTTCTGGCCAACCATGTCAGCCTGTCAGCTCTTTCGTTTCCTTCTCGATAGATCCACCTGAACATATTGTGGCCCCAACTCGGAGGCCTCATACCATACAACACAGAGATATGCTCCAGCCTATTTTGAATGTCGCCAAGAATGTGCTTGTAGATAATATTGGATGTTGCCCAGAGACCGTTAATCCAATTCACCCCTGTGGCGGAGTCCCCAATCAATTCCATCGGTATCGAGTCCCGAGGCTCCGCATTCCACTCCGATGCATGTTCATTAATGTACGCAAGTCGTTTCTCCATCTTCTCGTCCTCCTTCCTTTGCTGCTCCTCCGTCTTCTCCCTCTCCTCCTCCTCCCTAGCATATCCCGCAGGTTGTGCATGTTTAAAGTAACAGTACCCCCACGCCTCCTCCATGTTAGTAACATCCAGTGCCCGCTTCAGAAATTCTTTCCATCCCTGACGTGAAAAGGATAACGTGTGATACCAATCCTTCCCTGATACCAACTCGAAAATGTAATGGAAGTTTCTCAACGCCAGTGGTCTCCCCCCCTCATGCCGACGCGTCATTAATGGGCGTTCTTTCCAAGGCAGCGATGCAATGAAGGCCTGCCGTCGGTCAGTCCACTCCCCCGACCATGCAAAAATACATTCTCTAGCCTGCATATGCGAGTCCCCTGTACTACGATGCTGAGGTGGAGCCACCCGTCGCCGCTTGTTTGCAGCGATTTCCTGCGACGGCAACTCAACAGAGGAACGCTTTTGCGACAGAGAATCCTGAGATGGATGGAATGTCTTTGCACGCTTATGCATCTGGGAAATCAGATTGCGCCGATGCGCGGGTAATTGTGTCTGAGAACCAGGGAGCTCAAAGGAATCAACAGCATGCATCGTCTCACACACGTCAGGATGACATCCCATTGATGTCGAGCACGCAATACTTGGTAGCACATACATGGGTTCATCCTGACGTTGTCTCTTGGCCGGCGGTGGCTCACACGCAGCAAAGACGTTGGGGCCAGGCTTGCCTGAAGAATCAAAAGTACCTGGAGGAATCTGTGCGGGTGTTGGGTTCAGGCGTTTCACAGTAAACGTACAGTCCTGAGCCCACTGCCACTGACGAAACAAGAATAGCTGCACAAGAGACGGCCGTCCCAATTCCAGGAGCATACGCCGCCCACGTTTGTACAAGTTGCATAAGTATATACTCCAATCCATGTCGGCAGGTTTCGGGCGGCGTACCATAGAACACAATATTTTACCTTCCCACGTGTGCAACTGTTTCAAAGTGTGGTGGTCCGCTGGCATGCCTTCAACACCGAAAAGTACAAAACTACGCAACCTAGATTCATAATGCTTGATTTTCTTCTGGAAGGGTACAGCACGATTCGTATAAAACTTGCGGAACTGGTTAAATCGCTTCCAACCCCGAGCCAATTTCCAAGCCACATCATGGTGTTTGTCAGTCTTGGTCGTGACCAGGCAACCCAGGCACTCCATTTCAGAGCATCGCGGAAGACACAGGGTACCGAGATCGTTCACCTGGACAACGAGGTTCCCCGTCGAGGCGCCTTCAGAGTCCTCCCCAAAGGCAAGATAGTGTAGTGAGGAATCTTTCCATCTGAAACCGTGCGTATACAGCTGAGCCGAGAAGTCCCCCACCATACGTGTGAGCTCAGTCTTTGATTTCGAGAAAAGCAAAATGTTATCGGCCCAGAGCGCATGAGTAAGATACCTCCCACCAGCCTCCACCCCCAAATCGTACCCCAACTTCTCCTCCTCCCAATTCAGTACAATCCTATCCCACATCAGTAGTGTCACACACTTCCACAGGAAGGGGGCCTCCACACTACCAGTACGTACACATGCATCCCAGGGAATACCCGTCGCCGTGGAGTCCTGAAAGGTAAAGTCCGCTGTGTCCAGGATACTGGGAGCGAGTAGCGCCAACGCAAGGTCATTGGGGAACCCAGGGATGGCATCCAAGGCCCGACTGGCCTTCTCAACCGTGACGTTATCAAAGGCAGTCTGCACATCTAATGACGCGAGGTGCAGGGTCTCATCTTTCCCCCACTCCAGAGCGTGTGTGGTGGCATGCTTAAGCATGGCAGTGATCTCGTGCGTGCGCCTTCCCTTGCAAAATCCGTAGTTATGTAGATATTGTGGGACCCTTTTCAGATAACCTTCAGCAATCTCAACCAAACATGAAGTATACCATTTGCTTAGGCTGCTAAGTAAGACGAGAGCACGAGTATCAGACAACTTAGTGATATCTTTAGCTTTCGGCATCAACACCACAAGCAACTCAGACCAAATCCGAGGAGTAGGATACCGTTGAAGATACAGGTCTTGGAATAACCGAAGAATATGACGCAAACCTACCCACGTGATACGTTTCAACATAGAAGGAGAAACTCCGTCCTTACCCACCGCCTTACCACACTTTAAGCGTGATCGTGCCTGTAACAATACGGACATGGAAATGGGGGAGACGTCCACTGTGTTCGTGTCCTGCAACCTCCTCCTCCTCCTCTCCTCGATACACTCCACGTTACGTATCCCTTGCGCAGCACAGTGGTACTTGGCGAACCCGTGAGCATAGAGCGCCTTCTCCCACAACTCCCTATCCTCCGTGAGCACATCGTCATAACTCAATTTGTCCACCACCGTCCGAGCGAGCTTCCCGTCACGATGATCGTATTCGAGTCGACGACGAGTGTGTGCACGCATCTCCTTCCTTCTCTCTTTCTTAACCCTGATGAGCTCCTCCTCCTCCCCTCCTTCACGACGCAGTCGGCGATATTCATCATCAAGTTCCTTATGACGATCTGTCTTTTTGGGGATCTGCATTTTCTTTGGGACATTGGTGTATGACTCCTTGTCCTGTGTACATGCATTCAAGATAACAGGAGCCAATTCATCCGGGCAGAGACCAGATGGGTAACGAGCTGCAGCATGCAAACGACGATCAAGGTTAGCCGAAACTTGCAATTCCGAGGCTTCGTCGCAGCACCAATGAGTGAACGTTTGTCGTGGCTTCGTTCTCCAACGTCGAGTCGGAGCGGCCGATTCGGGGACAAGCAAGGTGAGCAGGGCATGGTCCGACAGGCGGGTCTTTCTGGGGTCCACGGAGCCCCTGAGTGTTGGCCTTAACCACGACACCTCCCACTGAGGCCTTTCCCAGGAGCTCGGAATACACAGGTAATCAAGAACCTTGTCCTCCTCCTCCGTCTCCTCCCTGGCCTTCCAGGTCGTACGACGGGTCCCAAAAGAATTCGAGAAAACCAAATCATAATGCCACATACATTCACAGAGCTCGTCACACATGTATTGTTGCATCCTCCTCCTACCCTGCTGGAAACCTCCACGTCCACCTCCTCCTGCATTGTCCCCTTCTTCAAATCTCTCACCCTGCACTGCAGAACCAGTCAAAGCAACATCTCCAAATACCGTGTGAGGCAGAAGCTCAACGTTAGCATCCATCCCGATGAACAAGTCCCACCCTTCCTTGGGAAACCTAACTCGGAGCGTATCCAAATCCTTTCGAAACGACTGCAATGTTTGTGTGAATAAGATATTGTGATCCCCTTTTTTCGGCGCATGTGGTAAGTACAAGCTGGCAACAATCAACGATTGAAACACGAGAATGACATAACGATTACCCCTGATGCATTCACGTATGGAGGCTCTCCACACCCTCTTGTAGAGAACCCCGGCCTTCCCATCATTAGAAAGAGTTAAGGTGAAACCATGCTCAGAGCACCTACCTATTCCAAGGAACTGGCACTCCTGCAAAGCGAGAACTTCCGAATTCGAGGTCTTGATCTGAGCAAGCATGTCGTGGCTGTTCATGCTGCCACAGCGCCTCACGTTATACGTGCCCACGATGGCGCCATGGCACCTTCACCAGGTACGAAAGTTGAGCTTGGCCAGAAAGACCTCGCAATCCAACTTGTCATCGACCTTACGCAGCAGCTCGGCGTCAACCTTCCACCCCAAGTTAGGATCAAACACGGCAATGCATACTCCATCCGTCTTCGGCGTCGTGGCCGAAGGGTAGCCCCACACATAGCTGACAGGAGGACCCATCTCACCCTTCAGCCACTGGGATCCACTCCTGAGAGTAGCAAAGATAGCTTGACAACGACCCACGGCAGAAACATGTGGCTGCTTCCAGGGTGCTGGTTCACAGGATACGCCGAGACGCTTGTTGGCCAGGATGGGAGTGACTTGCTTCAAGTCGTGCGTGTCATTCTCAAGCTCGACGGCCCAAGAGTTGCGTATCTCCCAAATTTCATCGTTCGTCAACTTGCCACTTATAACATAGAATCGTATACGATAAAGACCATATGGTTTATTTTTGTGCTCCCGCTCGATCCTACTCATGTCGAAATGCTCCTCAGTCATCTTTCCTGTGCCACGGACAAATTTACGAATGACAGGCAGGGCATGATCCCAGGAGAGCATATCCGATGAACGAGTCTTGAGATTGCCGACTCCACCTCGCGCCCAACCTGTGAGTTGGATGAAGGTCGGTGTAAAATCCTCCCGCACTCGATTCCATTCGCGAATTGGCGTACGATTACCATACCTGGGAGCAGTGGCCGTAGCAGAGGAGCCCGCAGGGCCCGCATAGTTACTCCAAGCATCCGTGGACCCTGATCCTGCATCACTGGGTGGACCCTTCTGCTGAAGCGAGCGGATCTGCTGCTGCATAGCAGCAATGTCAGCCTCATTCTTCTCACCACGCTGGTCGATCCGTTTCACATCCTGCTCAATCCGTGAAATTCTTTTCTTCTGAGTGTTCTGTTTAGCTAGCATAGCCTTCATCATAGCAAACTGTTGCTTCATAGGATTGCCGTCATCAAATTCGCCGAACTGCTCCTCCTCCTCACTGCTTGCCTGAATCATATCCTCATCCTCACCCACAGCCTTACTCTTCTTACAACAGGGCGCACCTGCTGGGTGTTGCTGAGACATCGCTGCGAAGGTGACGGTGTTCGAATACTTGAGCTCCTCTGGAAACCCCCACTGTTCCAAGAAATTGATGTCCTCACGCGAACGCTTAGAATCTGTCGTCGTGTCGAACAGATGTCCTCACAAGAGTGTTGAACAGATGTCAAACTCGACCTCCAAAGAGTGTGTACGGTACTCAGGCAAAAGACACTCTGCAGCACGCGTGCGGGAATCTGAGTCAAGCAAAGAATGAGTGTGTACGGTACTCGTAGGCTACCACAAAGAATGTGCACAGGCCTTCGACACTCAATGAAAGCGCACGGTACTCCGACAATCTGAACAGTCAATGCGCACTCCGACAATCAATGAACGTGTACGGTACTCAGGCAAAACAGACACTGAAGCACCGTGTACAGTATGAGGAACCAAAGACTCCTTTCTGCACAATGCAGCTCGAGACGAGGGGGACCCCAGCGGTGAGGCCAGGCTGAGCAGGAGGTAAGCTCTGCCCAACCCCGGTTACCGCCGGGCACCTCGTAGAGCTCTTGAGCCAAAATGGCTACGGAACTCGTAGAGTTTCTTCGATACACTTGAATGGAATGCGGGCGCGGCCATCTCGCATTCCGCGCGCGCGAGGCGCGGTTCGATGGAAGGGGGAGGTGGAGGAGGAGCGAGGAGGAGAAGGAGATGAAGGAGGAGGCGGGAAAGAAGGAGGAGCAGCAGAAGGAGCAGGCCGAGGAGAAGGAAGGGGAAAAGAAAGAGGAGGATGAGAAGCAGGAGAGGACAGGGTGAAAATAAATATAAATAAAAATGCTCTCTCTTTTCTTTATATATGAATATATATATATATATATATATATATATATATATATATATGCAAAAAAAATGGATATGATACTTCTTCTTTTTAAACACAAAAAAAAAGAGTACGAATGGGTTCTAGAAGCCAGCTATGGTAGCAGACCGAATTCGGGCATCTGCTTCTAATGATTTCCGTCGGATTGGTCTGCCGAACAGCTGTAGCTCATGTGCAGCTCGAGTAAAAGCAGGAAACTCATTATCATCTCTAAAAAATACAAGTAGATTGTCATGCTCAGCTCTGGTTGCAGACCGAGTTCGGGCATCTAGATACTTGGGACTAGCGCTTCTGCTGATTCCCTTTCGATTGATGTGCCGAACAGCTCTGTAGCTCATCTGCAGCTAGAGTTGCATTCAGAAAACCGACAGCACCTGTCAAGTTGATACTAAACAGACAATCCCGCCCACATGCTTTCTGGCAGTAAGATGTACCCGATCGACCTGAGATTAAGATGGCGAGCGGACATAAGATCGAGTATGGGAGAAAAAAAAATCAAGAGCTCTCACGACCTTTCAACTTTCGAGCAATTCAATTTAAACGAGTCAAATAAAGACCAAACTTCCGTCGAATTTTTGTTTGCCAACTAGCCCCCTGGCGCGCCGGAATTACTCTCTAGCTTCCCCGCTTCGCCCTTAGGGAAGCTCTACGAGTCACATGTAGATACGTGCAACAAGCGCTCCTGGTAATATTCGTCAAATTGCTGTGCCGAACAGCTCTAATCTGATCAGCGTCTGCTACATTAAGAAAGGCATGGTCATCTCTAAAACAATTATTAGAGAACGAATAGTTACTGGAACGGTAAGCCGTCAACCAAGTAACCGCCGGGGCCCGGGTAGAGCTCTGAACACGCCAAACGAGGAAACTTCGTTTCGCACTTTCAGCTAGAAATCGTAAAATCTATTCTTTGAGTTTTATACGTCGGCTCCCGCAAGTGTGTTTTTTTCGGAAAGCCGCACCTACAATCCTCAGACTTGCACCATGAAACGCGCCATGTTTGACTGCAGGGAATAGAATCTGGATCAAAACCAAAAAAATGTTCGTTCTCGCCGCCATCGGCCAACTGGGAACCGGCGGTAAACCGTCAAACAAGCTACCTCCGGGACCCCCGCAGAGCTTCGATGATAGATAAACCGAAGAACATGTATTTTTCATATTCCAAGCTGATGCTGAAGAAAGCTTGCTTCTTGTGTTCTGGGCAGCGCCACGTGAGCAAAGAGCTCCACAAGGGTCCCGGCGGTAACCTGGTTGACGGTTTACCGCCAGCTCCCAGTTCTCAAGACGAAGCTATAGTTGGAGTCCGAATCCAGACGTCTCGATATTGCGGGCGACTGTACCTGGTCACCTCCTGCTTCGAAAAGTGCTTTTCAGCTCGATAGACGACCCGCAGCTCGAGCAAAATACCTCGTAGAGCTTTTTTGCGCCGTCGATGAGCGAGAGGAAATCCGGCGCGGGATGCAGCTAGTTTGCCCGCCCGGCCCGGACGGACAATGTGAGGACATGGGGTCGTTTCTTTTGCAGCTTGTGCGAGATTTGAAAATCCGTTTGGAAACCTCTGTTTGTGCAACGTGGAATGGGTTGTGCCGCGTTTGCCCGTCAAATCCCAAGGTCCGCAGCAGCAATATTACTGTCAAAAAACGTGGAGGACCCGTCGGCCGTCAGGATACAGTCTTCGAAATGATAAGGGGCTCGTGTATTTCACAGAAGCCGAAAGCAAGCTACAGATATCCAATATGTTCTGCACGTGCAGTTGGTTTTAACGCGTCGGGCCATTAAATTCTGATGTAGCTGCAAGATAACTATATAAATGTTGCGGAAGACTTTAGTATTATCCTGAGAGAATACGTTTGTTACCTGTCAAGCTGACTGGGAGCCGGCGGTAGACCGTCAACCACGTGTTTTTGCGGTTTGCGGTCCGACCACGACACCCTAGAAGGACGGCCGGGTTGGTGCAGCCACACCCTGCGGGTTGGATGTACCCTGAAAAACGTAATACTCTTGGAGTATCTTGCAAGCAGAGCGGGCAAGTCTAGAAGCGGCCTCAAGCTCACACTGCGTAACAGTCGCATCGGAAGCAGGCCAAAAGCCTCCTCCGCCAAAGGACGGGTAAACGTGCGCAAGCTCTCACCAACCCCTTCACCAGATTGCTCACTAGTGAAGTCTCCATCCAGCCACCATCCTCCCCCAGCACCTGCACTACTAACGCCACCGTCGCACGCACCACGGATTGCGATCAGTCTTTCAGTATTGTTTGTATGTTGTTGAATGCTTCTATATCTCGATTGTAATGGTGGATGTCTGATTCCCCAGGTAAGTCGGTCGGCACAGTCGTTGCCTTCACGAAAGTGATGACGCCACAAATCATATCCTATGCCAGGGCCCTGCAGATTAAAGTTACGGCAAGCACAATCCAGCAAATCAATAACCTCCCCCACCTGCGAATGGTATATGTTGTTATTGCAACTCCACATTCCCCCCATCCAGTTGGTTATCAGCATGGAGTCGCCTAGAAGCTCCATCGCAATTCCGCCTCGTCGTTCGAAGCGAACCTCACTTTCCAAGTTGGCAGCAAGGCGCTTGGCAAAACGATCAACCAGGTTTGTTTGTTTGTTTGGACTCGCGATCCCAGCTGAGTGCAGCTGGGCGAGGACAGGTCCCGCAGGAGCACACGGGCAGCGCTGAGCTGTGCTTCGGCTGCCGACAATTCACATTCTGTGACTGTAGCTCCTTCAAGGAGCCACGCGGCCTCGGCCACATCCCTCCAAACGACGGGCACGGCACTAGAAACAGCAAACTCATGCCCAGCAGGGAAGGGGCCCACGGTTCTCGCGGAAGCGATGCCTATCTCACTGGGATTGCACTGAGTACTGATTAAGCCGATCTGAAGCCAGAAACCACATCCTGATCCTTGCTGGTCAACCCCGCCATCAAAGCCCCCCCTGATAGCGAACGGTAAGAGATAAGTTTCAAATGGATATATATAACAATGAGTTCTGTAGAATGTGCGGCCACATCTGGCCTCATGCGTCAATTCATCCGCTCGTGTATTGTCCTCCCTGAATTCATGTCTCCATAGCTCACGTCCCAAGGCAGCAGGCCTCAGATTGAAACACGCAGCGAGCTCAAAGGTACAATCAATCATGGCAGCTGTCCTCTTGCAGTAGCCACGATTCTCACATCTCCATTACCCCTGTAGCCAGGAGCAGATAAGTAATGAGTCACCCTTGAACTCAGCAGCAAAACCCTCTGATGATATATCCCACACAGTCGCACGTTCCTGGATCATAGCATAACGTATTGCAAACTTGGCGGGCTCTTTGGGGTCGTACTTGGGGTGTAGAGGGTCGGTCGCGATGTCGACCACCTCAGCATCGGCCTTCTCTCGAGCCTCAGGGGAGCCTCGAGGTCCATTAAGAGAGCCCTTCCAAGACCCCACAAAGTAATCATAGACCTTAGTTTTGTTGTAGTGTGTAAGGAGTTGCTTCCATACCTCCAAGAACTGAACCCAATCGCCCCGTACAGACTCCCACCACTTTTCCCCAAAGAACTGAATGTAGGGGAACTGCCAAGACCGACCGCCCACAGACACAGGGCCTCCACGAAGCCGCTTGCCCGAACTAGATAAGGCCCTGTTACCGCGTTGTCGTAGAACCTCTGTTATTGTGTCGCGAGCCGTGACCCAGCCAACAGTGCACATCATAAGCGCCCGTCGGGAGTATCGAAAGGCCCTCCTCCACCTTGAGACGGCAAGTGGCTCGCCTCTGAGAGCGTGGGCAGCTCCCTCTCCAGAGGGCATCGGCTGTGAGCGGGCAATGGAACAGGCAACCTGCGAGCAAAGATCCTCCAGCCGCCTCTCCATATCCGTAATCCTCCCCTCCACCTCCATCACAGTCGCTGCATGTACATCCTCCCCCCGTCCATCCGCAAAGCGAACACGTTTAGCACGTTGAGTCGTTGATCCCTCCACCTCTACCTCCGTCCTTGCCGTCCTGTCCTCATCCAAAGATAGTAAATACTGCCTCGTGGAGCGCATCATGCCCCAGCTCTTCCAACACAGCATCTGCACAGCCGACGGGAAACCCCCATCGCAGAAGATTGTCCTGACTCGTGTCAGTGCAGCTGGCCGCCATACCTCCCACCCCACATCTCCTGGCTTCCTCCTCCCTGACATTCTCAGAAGACACATACCCTCGAACGCGTGGATAACCCTCACGCACTCACTGTCAATCGTGACGGCCTCTGCTGCATATAAAAGACGGCTCTGCACAGTCGATTGGTATCGACGAAACTTCTTCACCAGAGGCAGCGCCCTGCACGTAAAATACTGCACCTGCGCAAAGAATGCCCTTCGGGCCTGCTGGACGCGCTCCTGCACATCCGTGTGGATAGAAGTGCAACTGTTGGGAATCTGATACCCCAGCACATTCAAACTCTCAACCTGCTTGAAAGGTACAGTCCGCGAGCCAATCTGAAA